GTGAAGTAGAAGGATTCGTGGTGCTTGAGCTTGTCGGTCGAGGCCTTGAGAAAGAAGGCTAAAGAGTGGTTAGTACCACTACCGCTATTGATATGGCGATTGGCCCGGATGGCTGGGCTGGGAACACGTACTGGGGAGGTTCTCGTCTAACATTGCGTCATGTTATACCCGTCTGTCTCCTGCGTGTGGTTTGTGATGTGACCAGGTGCCTGGAACGAACGATGAGCTGGCAGGTTAGTGGATGTGCGGCGGCGGCGTGGACATGTTATGGCTGGTCGACCGGATACGCGTCTCCCATGAGGCTGTACGCACATCCCTGCAACTGCGCCGGGAGCCGCTGCCCAATGACGCTGATCTGCCCCGCTTATCCGCTATTCTTGGTCAAGTCAGCCTCGCGCGAACCGTTCTTCGCGCATCCACGTGCTGCTCTCATTTTCACTTGTTCATTCGTATATCGTACCCTTCACCATCCCACCTGTCATTGGACGTTCGTACGAGTCGACCCTCTGATCTATGTCGCCAAGTAGGCTTGTGGCATGTTGACGATGCTTGCGCAATGCACCCCAGCGGCGTTTCATCACGGCCCGCTGCACAGCCGACCGAGTGATGACCGCAGCTCATCGACATTTCCAAGCTCAGCGCTATAGCTAACGTCGCTTGCTAGTCGCCTTGCGATCGAGGCTTGTCAACGGTTCACCAACTTGGCATCTTCGATTGCCCTGGAATTACGACACGCCTACGCGTCTTTTGGCCAAGCAGCACGCATGCGTCTCGCAAGGCATGCTCCATTGAGATCGATATCCACCCCACAGAGGCGGGGAAGCGACTCTCGGCCCAATGGAAGCTTCAATCTTTCAACGGATGCACAAATTGTCAAAACTCAGACTCCGCTTACCAACGCAGAAGTGCTTTCCTCCGACCATTGACAGCTTGACGGTAACGGCTATCTTTCTTATCATCACTAATCACGGCAACTCTGCGTGAGTGCCAGAGCAAGAACACGTACTCACCCTGCCACAGTGTGTCTCTCAAACGCGAGGGCGGGAACAAAAACAAAGCAATGAGAACAGAACAATGGAGCACAAGCGCTTCATAACCCCAGGACCGTCTAACCTCCTCTAACCCTCATCGGTTTCATTTGCCTCTCGCCACCGCGTCCGTTCAACACAGAGTACACATACCAGATCGTTTCCTGGCTGGTGTATCCTACGCCTTGCATGATTCATTCGCAAGACTTGAACGTCGGAGAGGTCTCGGAAGAGCCACACACTGGCGACTTCGGCCCTACAAAGTTCACGGGGTGGCTTTGTGATGAGGACGTTGATATCGAAAGAGCGATCTATTAACCGCTACAGCTCACCCATTTCACCACCAATGCACCGTACTGGAGCGACTACTTGAGCATGGTTCTGTACCCATAATCGCGAATATACTACGATAGGAGCTAGAACACTGCGCGGAAAAGTACATGTCTTGATCTCTTTTCGCGGATCTGGATGCCAATTTGGACGAGGAATTATTCACACAATGTCATCGAAACAATGTAACAATGGATGGGGCAAGAGGTCAGACACATTCTTATTCGGGAAACATGTATTCACTTTTATTGAGACGTCAGATTCACGAAGTGTTTGACGCACGCGATTTTCGACTTGGTTCCGCGCTAGCTGCTATTGTCCAGCTGGACCCTGATCCTACGTTTGCACCTTCCACCGACTTGCATTACCACATATTGCGACATCACTTGTCAACGTCCGCAGACCAACTATCCTCACGTGTCCGCTGTATCCACATCACCAGTCATGACTGAACGAGCACCCGCCGCCGACGCACGCCTGCAGCAGGTTCTGGAACATGTCAACACCACTACTGATATCGGCACCGTCGCAGCCGAGACAACTCCCTACACTACGTTTACCAGCGCAGCAACTCTACCAGGAAGCAGGTTCTCTAGTGCTGCTACATCATCGATTAAACACGGCAAGTCTGGGTCGTCGGGACATGAGGCGGTCCCATCGACAGCCGAGGTGACTACTCAAGGACACGTCTTGTACCGCAGCGCTGGTATACAAACACTCCCACCAAGCAATGCCGATGGTTTCCGCCAGATCTACGATCGCGAGCCTACACACCAGGAGCTCGTCAGCAAAATTGGATCTGCCGCACTTGGTCGCTACAAGCCGGGACCATCAGCGCACGACGTCGTTCAGAGCGCGCCATTTCCCGCTCCAGACGTTTCCAATAGGCGTGCAAACTGTGTCACCTCATCGTTCCAGACCAAGGATGTTGCGCAATGCAAGAAGGATCTTCTAAAAGCAAAGGTCAAGGCATCGCTGTTAGTTAACAAACAGCGCGACGCAGCTCTGTCGGCAGGATACAAGGTCTGGTCGGAAACAAGAGACGACTACGTCGTACACTCCGAGCAGCTCGACACCAGTGTTCAATTTGATTACCAAGGCAACGCGACAAACGCGAATGTTGACGGCCTTTCCCTACCCAACATCTACGGCGAAGAGATCGAGCCGCGCCCTGCTGTCACCTATCCAAAGCGACTCTCGAATCGCGGGACTCCAGAGACAGAGGCTGGGGTTGACGTAGAAGCAAGAGGGCATACCTTCAGCGCAGCTCCAAGTCTTACGCCACCACCAACGCCGCCCTCACTCGCCCAACACGACGCCGATGCCAACGGGAGCACACCTCAGCGCATTTGCACTGTCGAACCTTGCATACCGAGTGAGCAGTCTGAACCACCGTCGATTGAAGATTACGGCTACGTTCAACTCGTCCCAAAAGAAGCCAGAAAGCAAGATGTGGACGGGGACAGTGATCAGGAACAAACGCGACAGAAGAGAAAGAGGTCAGAAGTAGGCGAGGAGGACCTCATGGAGGATCAAAGAAAGAGACGGGCCGTCATTGAAAGCAATGAGGGGACCGTCATGGTGTTTGGCGGCGAGAGATTTGCGGATGAGTATATTGTTCACAACGCCACAATGTCGAATCATACGATCTCAGACACATCATCTCGATCGCCTTCTAACACAAGCAAGAAGAGGAAGTCTGTCGACCAATGCGAGCCTGAAGTAACTACCAGACCGCCAAAGCGCTTCAAGTCGTCAGCCATTCTCGCCGATCCTTCCCCTGCCAGAACGGATACTAAGACAGACCGTTTTGTACAAGACAAAGATGGCAGTGTGTCGCGCAATGACGCATCGACTGCCAGTATCAAGTGCGCACAACGCAACGAAGCTCCTGGGGAGGCGAAACGACACCGTGCTCGATCGATTTCTCCAAATCGGCCACGCGAAGGCCAACATCACTCCGAGGATGATCGCCACTCGCGCAACTTACGAAGAGATCGGGAGCCCAGACGTCGAAGCCGATCTCCCGCTTCTAAACACAATGATGATCGTTATAGGTCAAGAAGCAGCACCAGACAACCGTCTGAGAGTCCATACCAAGAAGGACGTCGACTCCACATGACAGAGTCGCAGCCGCGTCAGACAGGCCCAACACAAGGTCTTGCCAAGATTGACGCAACAGAGCAGAAAGGAACGGAGAAGCAAGCACAACGCTCAAGTGACTTGGACGACACAGTCCTAGCACGTAAGAAGGAAGACGACAGGCGAATGGAGCGAGCGAAGCAGATTACCGACGAAAAGCGAGAGAAGCATCGTCAACAGGAAGAAGCCGAGATACAGCGGGCGAAGCAGATCACCAACGAAAAGGTGGCAAAGCGTCGTCAGCAGGAAGAGGCCGAGATACAGCGAGCGCGTGAAGCAAAGAACGAACGGAGATTGGAGATCGAAGAGAAGAAGCGAGCTCAAGAGGAAGAGTCCCGTCGCCGAGAAGAGGAGAAGGACAGGCAACGCCGCCGCCGCCGTCGCGGAGACTCACAAGACAGGAGCAGCAGCAAACGTGCGACAGTAGTGGAACCACCAGCGGAGCCAGCTGCGCCGGTCGACAGATATGCACTGGCACGAGAAGTTGAGGCACGACGCCGAGAAAAGATGTTTGCAGCGCGTTCTACTGGTGAGATGGACAGTCGAGCACATGAACGGTCAGCTGTCACAAACAAGCGTGGCAGTAGATTAGAAGTAGAGCCAAAGAAGCCAGAAAAGAAGGTGGAAGATGACAAGGTAAGTAAGCCGAAAGCGAAGCCGAGACCGAGTCGGACTGCTCGCGGAGAGATTGAGCGTTACGATCCGAAGAAGAGGTTTGGACGTGGTGAATAGAGCTTATCTCTAGTGTTGAGGTGGGTACAGTGCGGTGGTATGAGCATCATGACATACAAGGGAAAAACTGAACGCCCCGGAGCCTGCGTCGCTGTTGGGCAACCGACTTCGCAAGCTTTTATCTTGATGTAGCCTGCAGACCTGTTCAGTTTTTTTCTTATATAAGGTGGGATGGTGTCTGAGAGAAGGGTTGAAGGGTGAGTCTCTGTCATTTGGTTTGATGGGTCTGTGGAGGTAGATATATAGTCTTCTGATAGTATAAATACATAAACATTCCAAACGCTTAGTAGAAATAAGCTGATTGTATATCATATGGACCGCAAAGTCGAGCTTCGAAGTGGGACTTACACAACGCCCTCCCTACTCCAGCTCTTCTCGACCAGTATTGTCTACGTTCGAAGACATAGTATTCGTTGTGCACAATGTGTAGCGCTCCTTCAGTTGTTGATTCAGTGACAGGGCGTGTGCTCGTGACGCCCACCAGTCTGTCCATGGGCTTTTGCCCGCTTTCACCTCCATTCACTTCGACTTTTGCGACCCTTCGCTGCCGCCGGTCACGCAGTATTGAGGGCGCTTGGGACCCACACTAGCAATACGCGGTCACCGTCGTGTTCCCATCCCACAACAGCCTCAGCGTCTCCCTTGTCGTCCGCTACTCGCGAGCAAGAGTACACCCATACCAGACATCTCGCGAACACCCATCACACCACCCTATCTCTGCTTCTATTATTGACAAGCAAGACACCTCCATCATCACTTATCGCCAATATGGCCTTTAAGCGCACCCCCAACGACCGCACCCTCAACTCCCGCGTCTCCAAACCCCACATCACCTACCTAAACGTCCATCTCAACCACGAGCCACACACAGCAGTACGAACGACAAAGAAGCGCGACCAGATGCTTCGCCGAATAGACATCCTACCCCCTCGTCTTACCAGCCCAAGCTCGATGCACAAACCCTTCGACACTCGCTTCGCGCGACATAAGTCCACATGGCGGTCCATAGCGCATGGCTTTGTGGAGCAGCAACAAGCACGGTTGAGAGAGGCGGAGGGAGACGAGATGGAGTGCGGATACGATACTATGGACCAACTGGCCGCGTTCGAGACGAGCGGTGGGGTGTTTGGTAGTCCGCCTGCTTCGGCCGCGTCGTCACCATCGTCGTCATCTCCAAGTAGCGATAACTCTGGAAGTTCGGCAACATCTTGGAGCACCGCGTCGACCTTCAGTGCGAGTACGCCTGCCAGTTCGATAGTCTCACAGCCCAGCGTGGCGTCCTTCAGTACTGCTACAAGCAACTCAAGCGCAGACAACAGCGATATGTCCTCTCCTGAGGTCGACATGATCGACGCTTCCGACGAGTATGAAAGCCATGTCGCCGCCGCGCCCACAGTTACCACTGCCCCCATACCCGCACCACCATCCTCGCAGCCGCCACAGCCCGTGACCACGGCGTCCATCGCCGCGGTCAACCCATCCCAATTCTCAAGCTTAGGCTACTTACCATCTAAACCCTTACCAACCGAAAAGGCGGCCGCCAAACCGCGCTCAAAAGCCCCCTCTCTACCCCCCAAATCCGCATCCAAACCCGACGTCGAACTAGGCATGGGCTCTTTCTCCGCCTCAAAAATCACCTCCTCCTCTACCCTTGTCTCCGCTTTCGCCAACCCCCATTTCAAGCAATTTTTCGCGGACGAGATGAAAGCGCTACAAACCTGCCTTGAGAAGAAGAAGAAAGGGATTCGTGGTTCTGATCTCGTCTATCTTAATAGGTCGCTGAAATGGGTTATTGATGCGGCGGAGGCAAAGTGGTTTAATCCCGACATTGACTTTGAGAGCGATGATGTGGCGGATTGGAGGGGGAAGTTGAATGTTTTTATGGAGGTTTTGGGGGGTGTTGTTGGAGAGGGTGGGGGAGATGGAAAAGGGGATGGGGTTGCGAAGGATACGAAGGAGAGGATTGAGAAGGTTTTTGAGTTGTTTGCTGATGAGGAGGGGGTGAATGGGGGGTTTGGGGAGGAGGCGGGACTTTGAGGTTTGTGGGCTACAGTGGTGGGGGAGGCTTCTTGAAGATTAGCGATGGTGGACTGAGATGTATACGAGAGCATGATTTGCGCTTAAGAAGCTGCCAATGAAGGAGCGGGGAGGATATGAGGTGGTTGTGCATTGCAGGTAACAGCCTGTGAAAAGCAACGTAGGCATAATAGATGGTGGTAAGGGTGTAGGACAGGAGTCCTGGAGAGATAGTAGCTGCCAGGTGGTGATTGAATCTTGTACTAGAAATGAGATTTCTGGATGCATTGACGTCTACATTCTCAATCATACTCTTCCTTCTCCCCTTCTAGCAGTATCTCGTGTCCATTCCCTTCTTTTACGCCCTGTGCGAGCACCCATCCAGCGATGGCTACAGCAGCCATACACCACCATGCCAGTCCGATCATGCCCATATCCAGCCCCCTTCCGAAGATCCATGAGAAGAGTATTGGCCCCACGGTGCGGGTCAGACTGGATACCGACTGGCCTATGCCATGAACTGTACCTAAGACCGATGGATGCGGACTGACGTTGTTGATGAGAATAGCCGTACAGGGCAGAGCGAATGTACGGGCGAGGACTTGTATGAACAAAGCACATGTAATAGCGATCCATATCCAAGGTCCGCTGACACCATCAGGTGGGGAAGTCCAGCTGGGAACTAGACTCAAGAAAGGAGCGGTCGTGTACATCACTGGAAAGAGAACGAGGAAGATGCGATAGCAGCCCACTGTACCTAGACGATGCGCAACTCGTGGGTAAACGAAGAGTTGCAAGGGTATGCCGATGACACCGATGATGGCAAGTGCGATACCGATACGCGCTGGAGGCATGGCGAGACCACCGGTAAAGAATAGGCCGTGAGGTGTGAACCCAGGGGGATATGGGTGACTACGGTCGAAGCGAGGCGTGGAGAGATGAATAGTCCAGAGGCCGTTGAAGGTACCTACGTGCATAGCAAGAACTCCGTGCGCGCAGAGCGTTGTGACGAGGTTGCGAGTCCAGATACGACGGAAGGGTAGCTGCTGTCTGACGATAATCCTCGACTTGTCAAGACTAGCAGATGATGGTGCATGTACCGATGTGGGTGTGGGTTGTAGCTCAAAGTCATCCTCCGGTACAACGTTGTACCCTTCTTCAGATGCGATGTTCTGGCGAAAGATCGTCCGACATATCCATCGGCCAACGCGGAGACCTGGATCGGGCCTATGCTTGCAGAGTTCACCTGTCTCTTCGAGGAAGAAGAGAACGGCAAAGGATGACAGGCATAGGAACACAGCGCTCGTGAGATTGGGTAGGGCGTAAGGGTATCGCTTCATCCAGTGTACGCCGTCTTTGCCACCGAAAGTGGAGTTTGGCCCGAAATAAGAAGGGTAGCTGGCAAAGGGGTCTGCTAGCACACCGCCTGTTGTTGTCAGTACGTTCTTCTACGTAGACAGCCCGATGATACTCACCCATTATAGGTCCGACCAAGACGCCGACGTTGAAGATCATAGGCAAGATCAAGAAGGCTCTACTCTGGTACTTCTTTTCCTTGATGATCTCACTGATCATAGTCCTCATCACACCAACATTTCCGTTCAGTATACCACCAAGACATCTAAACGCTACTGCCATGGCGAAACTGCGCGAGAAGCCAAAGCCAATGATGCTAAGCATTGTGCCAAGAAGCCCAAGATAGATCGTCCTCTTTCGGCCACCGTACTCTGCATCCGAGAATCGACCCCATAACATTGCGGTCATGAATTGAGTCGCCGGAAATGCTGCGCCGATGATGCCAGCTTGGTACGAGATGGTCGACTCTGGGAGTGATGGATCGAAGGATTGGAGCTGGTAGTAGAGATATGCGCCCAGCGAGGTCTGAGTCAAAGGTTCGGAAAGACGAGCAAGCATCAAGACGAAGAGCTGGTCTTTCCGAGGCAGTTCGCTCCATGACACCGGTTGGCTCTTAGGCTTGTCTTGTTCGACGTCGTCGATATCGGAAGATGTGGTATTTGCCCGGGTGTCGACATGCAGGTCACGCGACCCTATCCTCTTTTTCTTGACCTCGTCTCCATCGTCAGGTGCTATTGCATTCGCGCCAACGCTTGATGGCAAAGGTGTGACATCGTATCTTCCGTGGTCGAGTCTCATGAGAATGGAAGAAGTGCAGATGACGAGTCGCTCTGTAGCGAAGAAGCGATTTTGGGAACGACGAAGAATGGGTACGCCATTATCGCTATCTCAGGACCGTTGTTAGCGCCCGGAACCAGAAATGTGCCGTCCCAAAGATTAGTGGTGCCATCTTATTGGTGAAGAGATAATGGGAAGTGTGGGTGGTCGCTTGCCTGGAGATGTCGGAGTTTAATGTTGCGTCGCCACTTGGCGGGGTAATCCCGGCGGCTTAGGTAAGCGCATCGCAAAATCCCTGTCGCGCGAGGGAAGAACGAATATGGCACTTGCATATCAGTTAGGATGGACGCTACGGCACAAGCCCATGGCATACAACACCACATGCTCAGAAAAGATACTCTTACGGTCTACGCCGCCGAAATCTGCCATTCTTGTTTGATCATGATCTTTTGCGACTCTTGACTAGCAATAGATGCACGCTCCGCTCGCTGACCTCTCATGCAGTCCATCCTGGAGGGTGGGAGGGTCGATTTTCTGGAGCTCTCCTGACCCCTTAAGCGGTCTAGTCTTGAGGGTGGGAGAGTATCTTCTTCGGAGTTTCCCTCGACTGTTGTGGTGGCGTATGCATCCGACGGCGTCAGCTTCAACGACGAGAACTTCGACTTCGATCGAGTACTCTTCGTCAGGGACTTGAGTTCATAACTGCCGCCTGACATCCCACTACCTCCGCCCGTTGTTCCCTCACGTAAGTATCCTAGGGATACCCCTTGTGTCATGAATCCTTGGGTAAAGCCTTTGAGGAGTGGAGTTGTTGCGGATATGAGGTTGAACGAAAGAAGAACGCTTTGCCAGGCGACGGTCGGGACGATGCGAATGGCTGGCTCACGACTCTCTATGAATTTGGCATACGCGAGGAAGTGCATAAGAGCGAAGACAACGTTTCTAAAAAGGTGTTAGTGTCGTCGCCAGCTCGATCCGGTGTTCATACGTACGGTATCCTCGTAAAGAAGGCCATCACAACGATGAATTTACTTTTGATCGACATTAGAGACGAGTGGAAGCCTATTATCGGCAAGGCCATGATGATTACCTCGGTGATCATGTCACCGATAGTAATTGCTTTTAGCCAGGGAATCTAACAGGTCAGTGTTTGTGCAGAAACATGTGTGGATCTCCCAGGGGGACATTGACGGGAATGCTACCAAAGATGAGGCACCACTCATGCGAGCTAGTACAGCCTTTCGAGGGAGACGGAGGTTAGACTCACTGAATCGACGCAATACTCGTCACCAGGTCTCGGTATGACGGTATCGACTGAACAATAGGTCGTGGTTGCAATGGCTCCAATCAGGCCCAACACCACTACGATCACCCCGGTACCAATCGCTAGTATGGAGACCTTGACGTTCCGGGCGAACACAGACCGAATGAGCATTAGGATAGAGACTTTGGAAAGTCCGAGTGCGATGAACAGCAAGATCCGACTCGTAAAATAAAGCTGACAACATCCAAAGTGTTAGCGCACATCAGCATATTGGATGGAGTGGAGGTAATAAAGAAACCTTCGGCTAACCTCTTGTGTTTTAGATATCTCTGCATCTTCTAAGATGCTATACGACTTCCCGAGACCATTCTTCAGCGCTGAAAACAAGAAGGCCCACATGCTGAACGCCAAAAGCTGTGTTGACGTCAGCTTCGGGTCATACTGATAAAGGCAGTAAAGGTGGGGGGCAACGCGACGCGTACATGTGCTACTACGACGACAAAGTCGTCCCAGGTATGCGCTCTCCATTTCGTGAACCCGAGACGAACTGCGAGTACCAGGACCGCATAAATCATGGAAAGAAGCGTGACGACCCAAAGCGTCGCGCCCCGATCGGTGGTCGTGATGCGGGCGAAGCGGTTGTCCGACGCCCTGGCCAGGAGCGAGGAACTGGATGAGTACGCCATCTGTCGCGTGAGGCCAAACAGACTGGCAAAAAGGCGTTATAAACGACTGCTATGTTGCGCTCGACATGCAGTAATAAAGTTCTGGACACCGTTGGTTGTTGGAAACATGTCGGGCCTCAAGGAACAGATCTTACCGTGTCGCTCATGTCCCTCCATCACACTCGACAACGTGAGGCGCAAGAGTGATCCCGAATACTGGGTCGCCTACCTTGGCTCCTGATAGCCGCTCGCCTCCGGGACTTTGCCTGCATTGGTCGCCAAGGGCTGGGATGCCGAGATGATGATACCCAGCATCCAATCCCGATCGATTTTCCCTCGTGCGCAACCGGCCGAGCACTGACCGAACCGTGCCGTGCCTGTATATAGAGAGCAACAAGTATGCAGTACGGCCCTACTGTACATACATAAAACGAAGAGGTCGGAATTCCCGCAGCCCGCTCCCACCGGGTATTTGGGGCTGTACGGGAGACGGCGAGTCTGTCATAAGACTCTCGGTGCTTCTCGCGTCAGAGATTTACTGCGCGCAGTAGACAAGATCACGTTAATATGTATTCGGCTCGCGTCACTCGTGGAAGTATTTGTGAGTCGCATCGGCGTGGTCTGATTGTTAGCTCGCAATGCTGTCCTCGAGTCCTGACACGCGCGGCCAGCGGCCCGGGCTGACTCAAGCTTTTCCCTGCGCTAAAGGCCTGAAGTCTCCAGAAGCCCACCAGCCGTCCCGTCGGCGCCACTCACCCCACACCATCATTCAGAACAATCTCTCATTTCACATGTACCACTCCACTGTCCCCATCTTCGATCTTCGCATCGTATCTCTGGCTGTATTCCACGCATGGCAGTTTCACGAAGATGTTGCAGATCAACATGTCACTGTGTCATCATGCTTGCAGTCGCCAAAGACGATGTTCCCATCCGGTTAAAGCTCCGACGCAGGAGAA